ATTTGCATAATTATAGTAAGCAAATCATTTGAATGTGCGGTGATTCAGTCGTGGGGCACTGTTGGATCGCCGCCCTGGTGGGCGTGGTTAGGGGACGTCGTAGCGTACGAGTTTGTCTTGTTACATGGCTCGCTTCAATTTGTCAAAGGGGCCATGGACGGACGGTTCGCTGACGGAATGTTGGTCAAGGTCGCTGTGTATCAATGTAAATTCCTTGCTCCAACAACAAGCCAGTGAGTACAGTAATGCAACAAGAAAGTGCGACTCGCCGTGCGCGTCTTGAGCGACCTGATCTGACTGGGAGACGGGCAAGAGAATCGTAATTTGCCGCTCCGCGCGCGCGTTGGGCGTGGCGTTTTCTTAACTCGTGTTAACTTGTCGATTGAGCACCGGACTTCATGTAGACCCCGTCATCGTAGACATTCATGACTATTTTCGGTTCTGAATTGCCTGTTGTCGCCATCTACTACCTGGAACCATCGTCATTTGCGGGCGCGACGTCGCAGCGACGCTCATCAGCGCGGAGAATTACGATTCTCTTGTCACCTACCCGATCCGACTAGCTCACAATAGAATCACCCGTCTCCCAAACCATCAAATGTAGCGTATTTGAAACAGGAAAAGTGGAGAAAATTTGACAACCAAAAGCATTTTTTCAAGGGCAACTACAGCCTTCTCCCTTCTTCCAGCGACCAAATACGACTCTTCCCCCTCACTGGGAATCCCAATGTACGCCGTGGCCTGTTCCAATCAGATCAGCCATCACTGACCTCCACACTTCTGAGCAAGGGTCACCCACTATATGAGTTCGCTACTGTTTGTTTATTTATTTATTTATTCGAGAGGTAGGGTCAGGTGTATAATGGATAGAGCACGGGCTAGGATGTATGGAGCATCCAGAACTTATGCTGAGCTCCGCCCGCAGTGGGCGGGGCATGCGTCAGAGATGAGCGTTGTCGCGATCAAACATTCACAGTTCGCTTCCAGAGCAGGTCAGAGATGGGAAAAGGCGTATCAAAGTTACTAATGTGTTGACATTGACTGGGGTAAAAACACTCAAAATGGGTGGCGCGTCTGGAAGGACATGATGCCACAACTTCGTCGATAACTGGTAACAAAGGCGTATTGAGTCAAGCGGTCTGAGTTACCAGTTCGTAGATATTGATCTCTATTACATTCTTGCATGAGCATTTCTCTGTAATGCCGTTGTTTCTCCGTTCACAATTTGCGCTCTCTCCCACTTCATCACCAGCGGACCGGTTCACATTTTCGCGTCATCACTTTTCCTTGATGATCGTCATCGGTCGGATCAGGCTCCAGACGCCGTCAACCTGTCTGTGATGCTGCTTTGCCTGACTTCTTTCTATGCATTACATCTTTCTGTACGCCCTAGGTAGCTCTCAGGAATTTTAAATGGAACTTTTAAACGGATTTGCAGGATTTTTTTTTGTAGTAATACAGTAACTGTGGTAATGTTTACCGTATAGTTTCGTCAAGTCATCAAAAATCTCCATTTTTGATAGACAGCTGAGATTTGTGGTGCCCAAATCCCTTTCCTCACCCTGTCAGGAGATACCTCGTTGATTTACCAGTCCTGTTCTGTCCCCAAACATCATTATCGCCTTGGTGAGCAACTTGGTGAGCAATAGAGTAGCTTCCCGGGTTGTCTACAGATCGTAGAAAAGATGCGTATCGATCGATTTATTTTGTGTTGTCTTTGGGAATGTGATGTGGAAGTGAGACGATCGAATGAAACCCGTTCTAGTGTCTAAAGATACAGGATATTTATCAACTGACATCGAACGAGCGTTCAACATCTATTTTTGGCCCTCTCAGGATTTTTACCGATCAAAAAACCTATGACGTATGTGATTTGTAAGTGTAGTACTTACTGTTTATGATTTTAGTATAGTATTAAGTTTGAAGGAAACTCCTCCCTCACCGTGCCGCTTATTCAATCTGTCCTCTGTTGACGTTGATCCACTTCCTCCTCTGGATTCCTTCGGAACCGAATTACAAATCTTTGAAAAACAAGCACCGCACACAATCCCGCCAATGGTGAGGACGCCCCGCCCATCGCGGGTATTTCTCCCTTGTTCGTGTGCCAGTTGCTGACTTTTATCCACTTTTTGCTGGTCTCTTGGCGGCTTCTCCAACCAGGTCCAGGTTATGATTTTTTGCCTACGACACCACATTTTCGGCACGCACCTCGCCCACCCTGGGCAGGGCGGAGTTTGGTTCATGTGTGCTCTGTACAACTTGTCCCATACGCTACCTATCCCAGTTCTGACCCGACTTCTCCATCTGACTCTCCTGGTCAGGTATAACCGAACCTCTGGACAAACAGACAAAGAACAGACGTGAAAATTACTTGTAGAAGGGATTATTGCAATATAATTGGCACTGGAGACTTTATTAAGGTTCTCCGCCTAATAAATCTTTTCATCATGAAGAAAAAAATCTCTTTGACATT